AACATTTTTGCTATAAGAATAAATCAATACTGCTTGATTTTATATTTTTTGGTGTCAAAACAGTTCTTTTTAATCAAAACTACAGAAAGTAAAACGAAACAAAACTAGCTGAATCACTAAAACTCTGTAAAAAAATATATTGTACCTTGTCAACATGAGTGCAGTTCCTTATTCCAAAGGCAATTGTATAAAGATCAAACTCATTGTCCTGAAACGGCAAATCCTCTGCATTTGCACATACCCACTTTATACGTCCTAAAAACTAGAAAAATCTATAAAAACTAGGTTCAAACAAAACCAAAAAAAAAAACCTTTATCAACAGTCGGGTCAACAGCAGCTCGCTTTGCACCAACGTCTAGCATTGGCTGGTTGATATCGCAAACAGTCACAGAACCATCCCCTCCACTAAATTCATAATCTAATAAAATTTGACATGTCTACAATTATTTACTTATATTTCAAATTTCGATATATATTATAATGTCCCTGTAGATACAATTATAAAGTTATAAAATCATATCTTATATATTTCACAATACGGTACCAAAAATATTGATCTGACTCATCTATTCCAAGTCAGCGTCAAAATCACAAAAAAATCCTTACGCAATCCCCAAAAGCCTACCAGTAACCAAAAAAAAGAAACTACTAAGAAAAGTTTGGCCGATGGCAAATAATAATACGCAGAGGACGCAGAACACAGTCGGTCCTCAAAAAAAACCTTACCCTTTTTGGATTTTCCGTAGAGCACGAAAGGTTATATCACCAGTTCCTCCTGCCATGTCCAGCATTTTAGTATTACTGTCTGGAGCAATTTTATTTACAAAGTAGTCCTATGAATAGCAGTAATTGTACACTAAATAAAAAAGTCCCCGTGAAAAATTAAGGCTGACGTCTAGCAGAATACCAAAAGTTTAACAGTCCTAACCTTCCAAAGTCGATGAATACCAAGTGACATGACGTCATTCATTAAGTCATATTTCTGGGCTACATTTGCAAACACTGCATACACTGCAAAACATTTAGTCATTAAAGAAGTGGTTTTGAGAGATAAACTTATGAGCTAGAAATGAAAAGTAACAATCAAAAATAAGATCCGCCACAAGCAAAACATCAAAAAAAAGGTCTTCCAACAAGGGATTGTATTAAGCATCATACAGAGTGGCATTTGCCAGCAAAAGTTTTTCGGCAAAGCGATGAACAATATTGGGAAGATATAAAAGTATCATTCTCCATAGAACTGATTCAAGGAGAAAAATGTGTTAAATCTGGTGAGATTGTAAATCGTCAAGGTCTCACTTTTACCACTCTAATTTTCTAAATATTTCTGCACTATATTATTTTCTCCAACGCTCGTCCAAAGAATTTGTTTGCGAATACTACTTCAGAAGGTGCTTTATAAGAGGCTTTAATTACCTCCGTAAATTATGTGTGAAGCAATATTTTCTACTTCTCTGCTCCCAAAGCCATAGCATTTCAAAGCTTCTCTAAGTAAATAATAATTATATACTACATACCTTTATCTGCTTTCTCTTTTTCATCCACAGATTGATAACCAAAGTGAGTAGAGGCAAGCCTTCGAGAAAAAATAGCCGTATGGAAGAATTTTTTGCAGAAACATAACCGCCAAGTTCTTTGAAATATAATCTTCTCGTGCATCGTTTCAAGCTAATTTACCTTAACAGACAAAAGAAACTGCAAAATTTGAAATAAATTTGATTTTTATTTAAATGGAAGGTTCACACCTGCCGTATGTAAAAGAACGATCATAATAGTCTTCGATATTAACACTTAGCTGTATGAAAAATAAACAAAGACCGTTAAGCGCAGCTATGAAATTTCCACAGATTCATTTAATATTCGATAGAGAGAGTTCAGGCTACGACCCTACAGACCTGTTAAACAACGTATGCATGAACTAGCACATGAATTTAAAGAACAGCCGGGCCTAAGAAGCGAATCCCTACAATAGCTAAAACTTTTCCAACTAATAAAACTAAGTCAAAAAAACAGATTAATTGTTCCAAAAGCTCCTAGTTTTCTAAGTTCGAAATTCCAACCATTCTAAGTGCTTCAGACTACTTCTATATTTTTTACAGCATTCCAACATCAACCATGCCCTTATTCAAATTATTAGTTCGATATTAATTGTCATTTAAAAAGATTTCAAAAAAAGAGTTGAACCCCCCTAAATCACTTTTCTCAAAACAAAAAAGTAACCTGCAGCAAACGTGTCTTGATCTCTATGAAATCTCCTATAGTTCCCCTCTAATCTCAGATTCGATGTTCTTGTTTTATGTGGCATCAAAAAATGCTATTAGTAATACAGAAGAATTAATTATTATGCAAAGCAACTGTGAAACAAGACCTTTCTTTCAAAACTAAGATTTAAAAACCTGCTAAAATGCCTACAATTTAAGAGAATGACGTCAAGTTTGTGATAAAAAAAATAGAACAAAAACAATCAAAATCACCACTCAGCTTACTAAACATGTCACGAAAAAGTTTGAAGTATCTAACGATCAGGGTAAGCAAGAATAATAAAAGAAGAACTAAAAAATATTTCAGTTTGAACAAGCTTGTCTAGAAAGAAATTTCAAAATAAGAGCAAATCCTGGTAAACATATACTGCGTCCGTCTTGTCTACTGCCTTCTTCAAAGCGAAAGCAAATTTACGCTGGACATAGACTTCAAATATAATGATGCGCACCAAATACATATGATATCCAATAAAACATTTGGAAAAATACATAAAAAAA